TAATTTTCGCAAACGTCAAATAATAAAAAACAAACTACATTGCTGCAATTGTGAAAATATTCGACCAATTGCCCCACCAATCAACGCATTCAAACAAATTATATGACCAATCACCCTATTACGACCAATTAAATTACTAATTAACTTATTAGGACCAATTATACGACCAATCAATATATTAAGAACGATTATCAGACCAATCAACATATAACGACCAATTAAAAAACCAATCAACATATTACGACTAATTATCCGAACAATAATCATACTTAGATTAATTGTACGACCAATCAACATATTACGTCAATTATCCGACCAGTCAACATATTACAACCAGTTATCTAACCAATCGACATATTACGCCCAATTAAACGGCTAATCAACATATTAATACCAATTATCAGGTTAATCAACATATTACGACCAATTAAACGACTAATCAGCTAACTGCGACGACCAATTAAACGCTCAATCAGAATAGACCATTAGCTTAGAGAAATATTTTACCTTAATCCTGAATTTTCATGCAATCTGAATATAATATAACGTGTCCTCAATGCACTTACAACAATATGTATTTCTTTTAATCTATAAGCTTGGAAATGGTTCGGTGGAAATTCAGATTCTTTTTAGCTACTTAAACGAATATTCGCTGTCAAAAAATGCATATAAAAGTGATTCGTTTCATTTTTTTTTTATCTTTGCGTTCACGATCACGTGACGCAAAAGAAAAGAAAATAATAGGAAGTAGTGGTAAAGCAATTTCAAGTTTCTTTTTCTTTCTTTTTCTTTCTTTTTCTTTCTTTTTCTTTCTTTTTCTTTCTTTTTCTTTCTTTTTCTTTCTTTTTCTTTCTTTTTCTTTCTTTTTCTCCTTCTTGTACATTTCTTGTGTGTGGAACCTTCGAAATCCTCGTGTCGAACCCATTTGCCAAAAAATTTGCCATATGATGTGATTTTTTTTTTTTTTCCCACTGATTTCCTCAGGCTTGAATGTTATTTTAAACTCTTCTTATAAAATTTGAAACTTTATATCAATTAAAAGTGTATAATAAATACAAAAAGGCAAACAGTGACACACGCACACACGAATGACTGTACCTTGAAATAAAGCACTTAAAACAATATTTTCTACCAGAAACAATAAAGAAGAGATCGATTTGAGTTCATACTCTCATCTTCTAACAAATGGCACATACGTTTTGTTTCTAAAGACGACAAGGTAATGGTCAAAACTGGGAAAAAACAATGATAAGTTTATGGGCAGCTCCTAAAAAATGATAAAGCAATGATTACTTTCTTCGTACAAGAAGCAACTCAAAATACATATAAAATAAGCAAATATTCTTTTTCCGTCGTATACAACACACACCCGCACGCACGCACGCACACACACACACACACACACATACATATATATATATATATATATATATATATATATATATATATATATATAAGCAAATATATGGATATAGATCCGACAGTATGAAGAAAAATATATGGAAAAACAAAAATCCGAATATGCAAATATGCTGTGTTAATGTTATTTCAATGTCGACGTCAGATGTTTCGGTCTAGTAGACCTTCTTCAGGACATAGTTATTAAAACATAATTGACATTAGATGATATTCAAGTCAACAGGAGATGACGAGAGACATAAGAGTAAGACTAATCAAAACAGAATAACTGAATTTTTTAAAGATCAACGTTCAAATGTTAATTATGTTTTAATAACTATGTCCTGAAGAAGGTCTACTAGACCGAAACGTCTGACGTCGACATTGAAACAACATTAAAACAGCATATTTGCATATTCGGATTTTTGTTTTTCCATATATCTTTCTTCATATATATATGAGACATTCTTTTTTTTGTGTTAGTGATCCAAATGTCTTTCTTGGACTGCTATATAAATAGGACTATATATATATATATATATATATATATATATATATATATATATATATATATATATGGTATACATATATATATATATATATATATATATATATATATATATATATATTAAATTTCTAAATAATGAAAAATTATTAAACCATAGGCAGGAGTTAACGGTTTTTTGCCGAGTTCAACAAACTTTCACATTAAATAATTAACATAAAAAAACATCCCATAGCTAAATAAAAGTCTTAAAAGCTTAGCTAAATCATTAAATAGGAAAAACCCTTTTTGTAGTCGTCAAAAAACAAAAAAAAAACATATTGAAATTCAGTGCAATACGATTTGTATATAAAGCACCCACTTGAATAAACAAATAAATAAATAGATAATCAGATGGACAATAATAAAAGACAATTCTCCAGACACATAACGACATGTAGGCGCGCCATAAAAATATCCCTCACTGGGAACCAACTAAGGGGTGACCGCAAACATTAGCCTTGAAATAGATACCCTACCCAACCTTAGCAAATCCTCTCAGAAGATGATGAATCTATTGATAAGAATTAACGCTCTGACCACTTACGAAGAAAAATAGTCTAGCCACTCCCACAATAACGAATTCTGTAACGGACCGGGCCTAAAAATACACGTAAACCGACAGATAG